ATAGGAATTGCATTGAATCTGTAGATTGCTTTAGGCAGGATGGCCACTTTAACAATATTAATTCTTCATATCCATGAGCATGGGATGTGTTCCCATTTATTGGTATCTTCTTTAATTTCTCTCATGAGTGTCTTGTAGTTTTCAGAGTATAGGTCTTTCACTTCCTTGGTTAGGTTTATTCCTAGGTATTTTATTCTTTTTGATGCAACTGTGAATAGAATTATTTTCCCAATTTCTCTCTCTGCTAGTTTATTGTTAGCGTATAGGAATGTAACAGATTTCTGTGTATTAATTTTGTATCCTGCAACTTTGCAGAATTCAGATATTAGATCTAGTAGTTTTGGAGTGGATTCTTTAGGGTGTGTTATGTACAATATCATGTCATCTGCAAACAGGGACAGTTTAACTTCTTCCTTGCCAATCTTGATCCCTTTTATTTCTTTGTGTTGTCTGATTGCTGTGGCTAGGACCTCCAGAACTATGTTGAATGAAAGTGGGGAGAGTGGACATCCTTGTCTTGTTTGCAATCTTAATGGAAAAGCTTTCGTTGGCTGTGGGTTTGTCATCTATGGCCTTGATTATGTTGAGGTACTTGCCCTCTATATCCATTTTGTTGAGAGTTTTTATCATGAATGGATGTTGAATTTTGTCAAATACTTTTTCAGCCTCTGTGGAGATGATCATGTGATTTTCGTCCTTTTTGTTGATGTGGTGCATGATGTTGATGGATTTTCGATTACCATCCTTGCATCCCTGGAATAAATCCTACTTAATCGTGATGGATGATCTTTTTGATGTATTTTTTAATGCGGTTTGCTAATACTTCATTGAGTATTTTTGCATCTGTGTTCATCAGGGATACTGGTCTGTAATTTTCTTTTTTGCGGTGTCTTTGCCTGGTTTTGGTATTAGAGTGATGTTGGCCTCATACAATGAGTTTGGAAGTATTATTCCTTCTTCTACTTTTTGGAAAATTTTAAGGAGGATGGGTATTACGTCTTCACTAAATGTTTGGTAAAATTCAACTGATGAAACCATCTGGTGCAGGAGTTTTGTTCTTTGGTAATTTTTGATTACCAATTCAATTTTTTTGCTGGTAACTGGTCTGTTCAGATTTTGTTTCTTCCTGGGCTAGCCTTGGAAGGTTGTATTTTTCTAGAAAGTTGTCCATTTCTTCTAGATTATCCAGTTTATTAGCATACAATTTTTCATAGTATTCTCCAATAATTCTTTGTATTTCTGTGGTGTCTGTAGTGATTTTTCCTTTCTCATTTCTGATTCTGTCTGTGTGTATAGACTCTCTTTTTTTTCTTGATAAGTCTGGCTAGGGGTTTATCTATTTTGTTTATTTTCTCAAAGAATCAGCTTCTGCTTTTATTGATTCTTTCTATTGTTTTATTTTTCTCAATTTTATTTATTTATGCTCTGATTTTTATTATGTCCCTCCTTCTGACTTTGGGCCTCATTTGTTCTTATTTTTTCTAGTTTCATTAATTGTGAGTTTAGACTGTTCATATGGGATTGTTCTTCTTTCTTGAGGTAGGCCTGTATTACAATATACTTCCCTCTTAGCACGGCCTTCGCTGTATCCCACAGATTTTGTGGTGTTGAGTTTTTGTTTTCATTTGTCTCCATATATTGCTTGATCTCTATTTTTATCTGATCATTGATCCATTGATTATTCAGGAGCATGTTGTTAAGCCTCCATGTGTTTGTGGGCTTTTTTGTTTTCTTTGCATAATTTATTTCTAGTTTCATACCTTTGTGGTCTGAGAAGCTGGTTGGTACAATTTCAATCCTTCTGAATTTACTGAGGCTCTTTTTGTGGCCTAGTATATGATGTGTTCTTGAAAATGTTCCATGTGCACTTGAAAAGAATGTGTCTCCTGCTGCTTTTGGGTAGAGTGTTCTGTAGATGTCTGTCCGGTCCATCTGTTCTAATACGTGGTTCAGTGCCTCTGTCTCCTTACTTATTTTCTGTCTGGTTGATCTTTTCTTCAGAGTGAGTGAAGTGTTGAAGTCTCCTAAAATGAATGCACTGCATTCTATTTCCCTCTTGAATTCTGTTAATATTTGTTTCACATATGTAGGTGCTCCTGTGTTGGGTGCATAGATATTTATAATGGTTATGTCCTCTTGTTGGACGGACCCCTTTATCATTATGTAATGTTCTTCTTTGTCTCTTGTTATTTTCTTTGTTTTGAAGTCTATTTTGTCTGATACAAGTACTGCAACTCCTGCTTTTTTCTCCCTATTATTTTCATGAAATATCTTTTCCCATCCCTTCACTTTTAGTCTGTATATGTCTTTGGGTTTGAAGTAAGTCTCTTTAAGGCAGCATATAAATGAGTCTTGTTTTTGTATTCATTCAGTGACTCTATGTCTTTTGATTGGTGCATTCAGACCATTTACATTTAGGGTTATTATTGGTCTAACTTAACTCAGTAGCCTATTACAAACACAATCTAAAGGGGTTTTTTTCCTCTTTTTTCTTCCTCCTACGTTCTTTGTATATAAGGTGTCATATTCTGTACTCACTGTGTATTCCTTGACTGACTTTTGGAGGTAGTTGATTAAATTTCGCATTTGCTTAGTAGTTAGTTAATTTGTTAGTTAAGTAGTTAGTTAATTTGTAGTTTTATTTCCTCTGGTGACAGCTATTTAGCCTTAGGAACATGTCCATCTATAGCAGTCCCTCCAAAATACACTGTAGAGATGGTTTGTGGGAGGTAAATTCTCTCAGCTTTTGCTTATCTGGAAATCATTTAATCCCTCCTTCAGATGTAAATGATTATCTTGCGGGGTAGAGTATTCTTGGTTCAAGTCCCTTCTGCTTCACTGCATTAAATACATCATGACACTCCTTTCTGGCCTGTAAGGTTTCTGTTGAGAAGTCTGGTGATGGCCTGATGGGTTTTCCTTTGAATGTGATTTTTTTTCTCTCTCTGGCTGCTTTTAATAGTCTGTCCTTATCCTTGATCTTTGCCATTTTAATTATTATATATCTTGGTGTTGTCTTCCTTGGGTTCCTTCTGTTAGGATATTTGTGAACCTTCATGGCCTGAGAGGCTATGTCCTTCCCTAGACTGGGGAATTTTTCAGCAATTACCTCCTCAAGGACACCTTCTATCCCTTTTTCTCTCTCTTCTTCTTCTGATACCCCTATAAATGCAAATATTGTTCCCTTTGGATTGGCCATACAGTTCTCTTAAGATTCTTTCATTCCTTTAGATCCTTTTTTCTCTCTCTCTCCCTCAGCTTCTTTGTATTCCTATTCTCTAATTTCTATTTCATTTACCATCTAATCTGATTTTAAATTCTTCCATCATGTTTCATTTCAGATACTGCATTTTTCAAAGTTTCTATCTCTTGTATTCCTCCGTGAAGTCTTGAATATTTTTCTGTAGCTCCATGAGCATGTTTATGATTTTTATTTTGAAATCTTTTTCAGGGATTGGTGAGTTCAGTTTCACTTGGCACTCTTTCTGGTGTTTGTGGGATTTTGTTTTGTATCAGATTCTTTTGATGTTTTATATTTGTAATAAATTGATGTAAGCGGTGTCCTCTAATGAGCGGAATCTCTGCTGTCTTGAGCTGCTCAGCCCCTGGAGTGATGGCGGGGGTCACAGTCAAGCAGTGCTGGTGTCTGCCAGGAGGAAAGAGCTCTTTCCTGCTTCCTGGCTGCAGTGCCTGCCTCCACTGCCAGGGCCAGTGGTCCAAGCTTGTAGGGAAAAGTGTCTGTGCTGTGCCCTTGTAGCTGTCATGGGCAGGACTGCCCTGTGGTTGACCTACTACAATGGTTAGCAAGCTTGTGCCAGCTGGGACAAAGGAGTGGCAGGCTGCGTATCGTGGTTGGGGGCTTTGGTGCTGCATTGCCAGCCAGGGGGATGGAGCACCTGAAGCTCCTGAAAGTTCCCAACCTTCTGGACTGAGTGCACCAGGAAAATTTTGTCCACCTGTACTTTCTCTTAAGCAGCAAGCTCTGTGCAATCTGTGCCTCTTTAGCAGCCCTCTTGCTTTTGGGAGGTCTGTCAGAGTGCCCACCTTTCTTTTGTCCCAGAGCAGCCGATTGTGGCTTACCTGTTCTCCACAGGCGGCTGGAATCTCAGTCTCTCCCAGTATTCTGCCTGTCTTTGCTTTCCAACCCCACTAGTCTCCAGAGCACCATGCAATGTAGGTTCGTGCTCCCAGAGCAGACCCCCAGGGCTGGGTGTTCAGCAGTGCTGGACCTTTATGCCCTCCCTGCTCTGTTTTTCTTCTTCCCGCCAGTGAGCTGGGGTGGGGGAGGGGCTCGGGTCCCGCCAGATCAGGGTTTTGCTACTTTACCCTTTTCTGTGAGGTCCGCTCTTTTCCCCAGATGTCAGCCATCTGTCTCAGCCTGCTTTTCTTTTGCTCATTCAGAATTAGTTGTATATGGTATATTTTTACATTATATATGGTTTGGGAGGAGGTTTCTGTCTCAACTCTCACACTGCCGTCTTTAAGCCAATCTCTTTTTTTTAATGACAGCTTTATTGAAATATAATTTATGCACCCATAGTTCACCCATTTTAAGTGCAGTGTTAGTGATTTTAGTGTATTCAGAGTTGTGTGGCCATCCCCATGGTCAGTTTCAGAATCTTTCATACCCCCAAGAGAAACTGCAGCACAGAAAGTCTTGTAAATGTTTGTTCACAGCAACATTATTCATAATCACAAAAAAGTGGAAACAATCCAAATACCCACTGGCTGATGGTGGGTAAACAAAATGGGAAATTTTTGTGCTGGAATGTCGTCAGCATGAAAAGAAACAGACCATTTTCACAGGCTGTGATATGGTGACACTGCATACTACTCTGGCTGAGAACTGTCAGAGGGGACCCCGTGCTCTGAGAAGCCGTTAGGGGCTGCACAGGTCTGGGGTGTGAGGCAGGGCTCTCTGTTGTGGCAGAGCCATCCTAGAGCGCGTGCTCTGACAGCAGCACAAACACCGCTCCGGTCCCACCTGTCCCCTTCACCAGCGACGCGGGCGGTGGGCAGCACACCGTCCGAGCGCCCAGCTGACCAGCCGCCTGCAGCCCAGCTGCAGCTCCAACAGGTGGCGCTGCAGCAGCAGCAGTTCCAGCAGCAGCAAGCGGCGCTGCAGCAGCAGCAGCAGCAGCAGCAGTTCCAGGCCCAGCAGAGTGCCATGCAGCAGCAGTTCCAGGCCGTGGTGCAGCAGCAGCAGCAGCTCCAGCAGCAGCAGCAGCAGCAGCAGCAGCTCATCAAGCTGCATCACCAGAACCAGCAGCAGGTAGTGGATGGCCTTGCCGTGGGAGGGCCTCCGCGGCCGCCGGCTGTTTGCGCGCACCTCCCGTGTGCTCCAGTGTGGGGACGTCCGGGTGTGCACCAGAGGGCTGCAAGTGTCCGGGAGGGGCTCGTCCTGCCGGAAGTCTGTCACCAGAGCGCAGAGCTCCCTGGGCGTGCAGCCCGTGGCCATGCGCTGGGTGCCGTCGGACTTGCCACTGGGTAGGGAATCCGCGGGGCTGCCCTGCCCCCAGTGCCTTCCCCAGCGTCCCTCTCCATGCCCTGGGAGTCCTGGTCAGGCCCCGTCCCCAAAGCTGACGGTGGCTCTTCAGCCCTGATGTTCCTCCTTGCCCCAGAAAGCAGACATTGACATCTCCCTGAGGCTTGTTTGGGTGACTGCCACAGAGACCAAAAAGCATCACTGGAGCGGCTTCGCCGTCATGCATGCGCTGACCTGGCTTCCGTGGGGGCTGCACCTGTGTGTCAGCCTCTGCGCCCTCCAGGCACTTATGTGGCTGCCTGTCATTCTCAGGCTGGTGTCTGCTGGCAGGGCCAGAGGCATACACTTGGGTCCTCAGTGTCCCTTGTTGTGGGTGGCCCTGCCCTGTGTGGGTAGTCCCGTATGGAGCCTGTTGTAGCCCCGCCCCACTGGTGTGGCCCCTCCCCGTGTGGGCACACCCCAGGCAGGCTTTTTGGGCGCTGCGGCAGGCGCTGTTCATTGTGCCCTCAGCTCCAGCAGCAGCAGCAGCAGTTGCGCATGGCCCAGCTGCAGCTCCAGCAGCAGCAGCAGCAGCAGCAGGCGCTGCAGGCCCAGCCGCCTATCCAGCCACCGGCCGTTCCGCAGCCACAGCCGCAGCCACTGCAGCCGCTACACCACACACAGCACCACCAGCCGCCGCCGCCGCCCACCCAGCCGCCAGCCACGCAGACCCAGCCACCGCCACTCCCACCACAGTCGCAGGCACAGCCCTTGGTGTCCCAGGCACCAGCACTGCCCACACAGATGCTGTACTCCCAGCAACAGCTGAAACTCGTGAGTACTAGCCGGCGTGGGCCGCCACCACGACCTTCCCGTGCCCTCCTCTTGCGTGCTCCGCGCCCAGCTCAGTGAGCTGCATGGCCAGTTCCAGCGTGGCCTGGGCTCATCTGAATCGCGGACGGCTGATGAGAGCAGCACGCTCCCCTCTTGCTCTGGGGCCGCCGCTCCCATTGGGCGCCTACAGCGGCGCCTACTGCTCGGTTATGTTTGCGGTGAGTCCCGTCACCGCCAGGCTTCCTAGGAGGTCGTTGATAGAAAATAGTTTCTTTCAGTCTCATTGAGAATCTCTGTCCGAAGGAAATCCAGTTAGTGATGTTTACGCAGAGGGCAGGATGTTGTCACCAAGCCGGGGGTAGCTTCATCAAGGGGCTGCTTTAATGTGTTGTTGGCTCACCTCCTCTGTTGTCATGGCTTTTTCTGCTTGTGGTTCAGAGTCGGGTGGGGCAGGGCCCATGGCTGAACCACGTGGGGGCTTGAGTAGGAGGCCCACTGGCAGGCTGGAGGCCGAGCAGGGTCACAAGGAGCAGCGATGGTCACCCCGCAACCAGCCGATCCCCTGGCCCTGTTTTCCTCCAAGGAGTTGGGGTTCTGGGTGGGGCTCTTGCACGTCATCAGTGTGTTTGGCCCAGAGGTGGGACAGGCTTGGCCGTGTGCTTGGCCTTGGAAGCTGTCACTTTGCTTGCAGCAGTTGCTGGTGGTGATGGCTGTGGCGACATCCCAGTGGGAAGCTGCACTTCCTTCTTGCCAGAGTCATGGGAGGTGGTGCTCAACTGTGCCTACTCAGGGCCAGGGTGGTGTGGTATATCTCTGATGAACTAGGGATAAGGGAAGGCCAGTGAGGTGACATTGGAGCTAGTGAAATCCTGACAGTCTCCTCCCCCTTCTCAGGGTCAAAGCTCCCACAGAAGTGGGGGGAGCTCTGCCCTCTGCCCTGGGCGGCCCCAAGTCGCCTTACGCTTCCTCCCTCAGGTCCGAGCTCCGATGGTGGTGCAGCAGCCGCAGGTGCAGTCCCCAGCGCAGCCGCAGGCCGCAGGGCCGGCAGCCCAGGCCTCCCAGATAGTGGGTTCTGGAGTCCAGGTGAGGGCCTCTGGAGCCGAGGGCTTCGGTACACTGGCGGGTGCGTGTCACCTGCACACGGAGCTGGGTTGCAGGTGCTCTGTGGTGAGGGGTGGATCGGGCTGGGTCGGTAAAGCATGGGGCTACTCTTTCCTGACTGGCACTCTGCAGACGAGGGCTCCCCAGGGAGCTGGCAGCTGAGCCCTCGGGGTGGCCAGCTCTGCTTGGTCATATCCGGGTACCCCTAGTGTGTAGGACACATGTTGTTCCCACCCATCCTCTGACACCTTCCATCTGCTTTACTTCTCTGAGACACATATTGGAGGAGTGTCAGGGACCCATCCTCACCTCAGCTCTGAGTGTGAGGTCGGTGGGGGGTGGACAGCTCTCTAGAAACTAGGAAGAGCACAAGAATGGCGGTGTTTGGCTCCAGCAGATGGGAGAGATTTGTGCCCCTGCCCCTTGCCCAGAGCCTTCTTGTGCTCGCCGCCTGTGCTGGTAAGTGTGGAGCAGGCCCGCCACACCCGCGCTGTGCTTGCTGAAAGTCGGTGGGACAGAGCAGGCCCTGTCCAGCCTTCCCTGGTGGGGCCAGCTCCTCACTGGTGTCTGGGGGGCTGGCTTTTCCATAGGTGCCAAGGAGAGGAGACATTCAGGCTGGGGCTTCATCCTTCTCACCTCCTGGCAGTGGGAGTACCCGTCCTGCTGCAGAAGAATGTTGGTTTTAGAGCAGGCGTGTTGGCTAAGTCTTCAGCCAGCACCTGCCCGATGCCGGGCTGCCCCATGCTGGGCTGCCGTGCTGAGCGCCCCTGCGGGGCCCTGTGCTGCTAGTTCCCCACAGGTTCGCCGGGCTCCCTGTTATGGTACCAGCACCACATGAGCACTCCTGAGATGAGTCTGTTCTGTTAGTGTCAGATGGCATTTCACAGAAATAGGCCTTCCTGGTCCTAGTCACGTTGCTGGAGTCTGTGGGAAGCTACCCGAGGGGGGGTGGATGTAGCCAGGTCAGTCCAGCAGCCTCCATAGCCCCTGCACCAAGTGGCCTGGACCCAGAACTCCCCACCAGCTTGCCCAGATGTGGTCTTGTGCTAAACATACCACGGATTTCATGTTTGTAGCTGGGGAGGGGCTGGCTGCCCTATATGACAATGTTGGAGTCCTTCTCTGCCACCACAGCTGTGTATCCCAGGTGTGTGGTCAGAGCCGGGATGGTGGCAGTACACAGTGACCACCCAGCCCACAGGAGCCATTGTCCTTGCTGCTTCGTGACCCTCCCTCCCCTGTCCCAGGACCACAGTTCATAGAAACCGCACCTCAGATCCAGTCCAGCAGGGAAGTGGCAGACTTGGCATTCTTTACCTTGTAGCAGGTGGTGCTGAAGCAAGCTTCCTTTTTCATGCCATTTCTTGGTGTTTGGGTAGCAAACAGTCGATGTTTTCCCATGGACCGGGCCCATTCTGCTGCAGTGTTTGTAGGCTTCTAGCTCAGGGCTCCCTGTAACTCCCCTCACCACCTTCCAAAAGTGCATGCAGCTGTGTGCACCCAGCGCCCAGCTCGGAGCCACTCACAGCTCCGCCCCTCCCTGCAGTGGCTCTGCCCCTCCCCTGGGAGCACACCCTCTGCTCCTTGGAGGCCCCAGTCCTGCTGGCTCGGGAGCTTGGTTGTGGGCTCCGTGTCCTTGAGAGTTGGTTTGATTTGTGACCTCCTTTCCCCGCTGCTGGCAGGCAGAACTGAGGTGGGCCCAGAGCTCTTCCAGTGGGGACTTGGGGAAGACTGGGTCTCTGGTAGCTGGGGAGGAGAAAGGGGTCACCACTTGAGTGTTCAGGGGTGGGTTTGCTTCTAGGAGGAATGCTCCATCAGGCTTCCCAGGAGTGATGTCCACCTCCCTTCTGTGTGCCTGAGACCAGCCCTGGGCAGAGCAGACAAGAGGCCTTGTGTGTGCTACGTGGTGCATGGCTGTGCCTCAGGATGCTCAGGGCCAGTGGCAGAGGCACTTGAAGCCCCAGCATGTGCAGTGCACATTCAGGCTGTGCCTCTCAGCCCAGAGACGGGCCCTTAAGGTCCCCTGCCTCTGAGTTGCTGTTTGTCCCGGGGCTCAGTCCTGCCTCGCTGGATGCAGGGCAGTTTGTGGTCCCTGGGGATGACAAGTCCTCTCATGGGGGAGCCTCTGGGTTTACAGCCTGCCTTTGCAGTGTGTAAAGCAGACAAGGCTGCAGACATTCTGACCCAAAAACTTAAAAAAATACGTTCTGTAGAAGATAGAAAGTCAAGAGAAGTATAAATGGGGGAAACATTCTAGTGCAGGACAGTTTGGCTTCATTTCTTCTCTTCCCATTGCTCTTCCTTGTTGAGGTCGTAAAGACATACATAGAATTTTATGTGTGGCTTCTTTCCTATTCACGTTACAGTAGAAGTAAAATGTTCTCTGTAATTAAAAACCATTGGGCAACATTATTTTATGTGGCTGTGTGATAATTCCTTTTAGGAATGTGCCTGCTGTCCTTAATTACTGACTGGTGCTCGGATCCTGAGATCATGTCCAGTGTTTTGCTGTCACCAGTGATGTGTGTCCTGATGTGTGGCTGGTTCTGGTGTTTCTGTGAGAGAAGTACTGGGTTTGGGGCCTGAGCACCCTGCCTCTCACATCTTCGCTCCCAGACAGGAAGAGGGGTGCCCTGTTGCGTGCTTGCCTGCGCTGTGGCCCTCTTGGGGGGCTGGGCTCTCAGCCTGGGGTTGAATTTGGAATCTGGGTGTTCCAGGAAAATCTGTGAGCCCTCTGCTGTAATCCCTGCTTGGCTCCGTTTTATCTGATGTTGCTCAGTGTAGATGAGAAAGGCCACCCACAGTGGGATTTACTAGAACACAGCAGGAGGGCTGCTAACTTCTCTTTCTTCTTAACCTTTATCTGTGTCTGCATCTTGGCAGACACCAGGCACGGATAAAACCAGAAAATAGAATGCGTCTCCATTTCCAAATAAGCCCTGTTCTTTTGCCTGTTAACCCGTTGTTCTTTCAGTGTATGGAAACTTCACCGCAGTCCTCCACACCTCCCTGATACGCAAGCCTGTAACATGGCTGCTGTTTGCTGATTTCTCCTCCTTCTGGGCCCTCCTGCCCAGTAACCTGGCGGGGGTGGGGGGGTTTGGGGGGGCCGGCCCACAGCCTTCGGGCTGGAGCTTGACTTCCTTTCTGGGTGGTTGGGTGTGGGGAGGCAGTGAGCTGCAGTCACTGGAGCGTGGGAGGAGGAGCTGATGGTTGCTGCCTGGTTTAGCACTAGTGTGTGTTCATTAGAACGTATGGTGAACAAAAAGGAGCGTCCCCTCTCAGGAGTTCTCATTTACAAGAAACAAGTCGGCAGCAAGTTAGATTTAAGCTGTTCATTCCTTATGACTTTTGTTTCTTCCTGGAAAAGCATGTCCACCTCTCTCATGCCACCTGACTTAGGTCTCAAGGTTTCTCCCACTGGGAGAGGTAGTGTTGAGCCACTGATGGGCTCTGAGTGTAGCACCAGCTGCTTGTAACTGGCCCTGGTCACTGTTCACCCCCACCTGGCCTCAGCCCAGGAGCCAATCCCAGAGAGAGTTGCTTGTGGCACCCCCCTCCTTGGTGCGGGCAGCAGGCCTCCCAGGGGGGACAGGCACGTGTCCCCGAGGCTTCCTTTTGGGAGCTCTGATACGCCGAGCACTCGGATGCCCTACCGCTGTCCCACTGGTGTCCGATGGAGTGGCGGGCTCTTCAGGACCGTGCCTGCATCTTAGCAGACACCCCCACCCCAAGTTATTTTGTTGTGTGGCTGCAGGATCCTCCACTCCGAGCCCAGCAGGTTGGCATCTGCTGCTGCTTGTGTCACCCCAGCTTGTGTCTGCTGCATGTGACCTGTGATGTGAGACCAGAGGTTTCCAGGAAGGTCCTCCTCCTGCTTCGGAGCCTTGTCCCCGGCACAGCTCACCGCATGGACTAGATGGCCATCAGCGCCACTTGGTCTCAGACCAGCTCACAGTCTCCTGGGACAGATGTGCTGTCTTTCCACAGATCGGTCCTGCTTCCTTTCTGAATGTGGCTGTGCTGTGTGGGTTTGGGTTCATCCTAACAGTCGTGAATGCAGGCCAGCCCTCATCTCCAGGACCAGGCTAGGACTCCATTCTCTGTTCAGCCCAGACGCACTGCCGTGCTCAGCCTGCCCTGCTGCCTTTATGCTTCCAGAAGTAAGAGTGGATGAGGAGGATGGTTCTAGAGCGTTCTGGCGTCCTGGAGTCTGCAGGTGTCTTGTATATTTAGGGATGGCCCTGACCCGTGTCCCTGTGGGCGGCGTACATCCTCAGACGGCAAGGCCTCAGGCAGAGTCCCAGGACACCCTTGCCCAGGTCCCCCTGATTTTAGTAACAGAAGAAAACCAGTTTGAGGCCTGGAGGAGAGGAGATGGTTCAAGCTCAGGTCCGGGGAGGTGCTCTCACTCTGCGGCCCCAAGAAGGAAGTGCCGAGAGCCAGGTTACATGGACTCTTCCTTGGTTCTCATGATGCCAACTTCTCGCCAAGCTTCGGTGGAGTGTACTTGCCCAAAGGCTTCCCCAGGCGCCTGGTCTCCCACAGTCCCCGCCTCTGGTCCTTGAGGTCTGGCTCTGAGGGTTCTCTGGGTCTGGCAGCAGGCCAGAGGTCTGTTTAGGGAGAGCTGCTGGTGGAACAGAGAGGCCTGGAGGTGGCATTCTTGGCGGCTCCTCTGAACTCCTGATGCCCAGCCAGGCCTCAGTGCTGTGGTCTTGAACACGTAGGTCCGTCTCCCCTTCTCCAAGCCACCCCGAGCCCTCTAGGGCCCCTCACCTGTGGGTGCTCCTTGTTGAGGAGGCTCTGCACGGCTCTCCACCCACCCATGCACTGCGTTTCTTTGTTGCGATCACCATTTCTGTTGTCCCTCTGTCCTCAAGATGATCAACGCAGCCTTGGCCCAAGGCGGGATGCAAGTAAGAGCCCGGTTCCCGCCCACCACCGCTGTGTCTGCCGTCCCGTCAAGTTCCATCCCTTTGGGCGGACAGCCCTCGGCACAGGTATTTACGGGGCAGCACCCAGGGCCCCCGGGATGTCAGGGTCCCCAGCGCGCCTTTGTGAGGCACACTGAGTCATGGCGACTTCCTTCGCAGCGACTCTCAGAGGGCCAGCTGCACCCACGTGAGGCCCACCCACTGTGTTTCTTGAGAGCATAGAAGTAAACATCTGGGTTCATTTTAATGTTTTGGATAGTTCTAATGTGTTCATTTTCTGGACAAAGTGGGAGCTAAGTATCTTTTTTAAATTTTTAGTATTTTAGGTAGTGATGCTGCTGTTATTTTTGTGATAAAATAAAACAGAAGCCAAGCAAATATTTTGCTTTCTAGTGGCGTGCTATCTAATACCACTAGCCATACATTTAAATCAATTAAAACTACATAAAGCTAAAGAGTTAATTCTTCAAGTTACAGTTGGTAGAAATTCAGTATCAGTTCAAGCGCCCAGTGGCCCCACGGGGAAGCTCGAGGCTGCCGTGCTGGGCAGCATGGATCATAGAACAGGTCAGTCCATTGTGTGGAAAGTTCTGTGGACCATGCTGTTCTGGAGGCCACTGCGTGGGGTGGGGGATTCTCCGACCACACCCCTGCGTTGGTAGGTATACAAAGACTAACATGTACATCGCGCTGCTTTGGGGTGTGAGCGCCTGGCCGGCCATCACCGTGTAACATTTGGAGTTCTTCCATGGTGTAGTTATTTGTTTCATAAACAGTCGTCACGTCCATTCCGTGGGCCAGGTGCTGTTCTGAGATTCTGAGAATAAAATGGCACTAAGGTTCCTTAATTAAGGACTTTCCATTTTAGTGGGTATGCTGTGAAAACCTCAGATTTGCCAAAACTTCAAAATTCCATTTCTGTGGTAAGGGAGATGCACCAGGGATCCTAATCACAGTGGCCCCCGCCCTTCCCCGACCGCCCTGTGCGGGCTTCGGGTCTCGCTGGTGCCAGGCCCTGTGCCACGATGCTGCTCTGAGGCAGTGGCGAGGGCCTTCCTGAGGCCAAGGTGCTGCTGTCTGGGGACAGTCTGTTTTCACCCCTCCTGGTTCCCAGCCCCCGGGGTCACCCCATGTGGGCCGTTACCACAGTTTCTTACGGATTTAAGTGTGAGTTCTTTGGCATTGACCTCCCTTTTGGAATCGTTGGGTTTGGGACAAGGAAGTGGCTGGAACTGCTGGTGAAAGATCCACAGGGCTTGGGGAGTAGGCCATGTGGCCAAGACGGTGAGCAGGGCAAGGTGGGCCAGAGCCCGCACACAGCTCCCGGAGGCCATCCTCCAGCCCCGTCGCCGCTCACGTGTCGCTGTTGTCTCCTGCCCTCCAAGCCCTTTGGATTCTCAGCTCTTTGGTCTCGAGAGGGCTGTTCTTTCCACAGTGTCTGGCTCAGCGTGCATCAGGCAGACAGAGTCGGGTCGGACTCTTGGCTGTTGGGGAATGACCTTGGCGTCAGCATGCAGGCCTGATGTTTATAAAAACAGTAAGAATCCCCAGCATTTTCAGTGTGTCCTCTGTGCCAGGCCTCGAGTCAGGTTCCTTCTGTGCAGGTTGTTTGTTCTCACGCGGTGAGTCAGCTCGGATCTTTAGGAGGGCTCTTCGTAGTCACCTCAGTCGTGGTCCCCCAGCAGCACTCGAGCGGGAGGTGCCACCTTCCCCTATCAAAACGGACCAAGGCACTCGCTCCACTTAAAGCGTCCTCAGCCCAGGCTCTGCAGCTGCTGTCTGCCCACCTCGGCCTCTCAGCAGGGCCCCCTCTTCTGGATTTAAACCCACTCTCTCCCCCTGCCCTTCCCCTGTAGCAGTGGCATCTGGCCGGCCACACAGCTGGTTCCAGAACCGGTGCGCAGCTGCTTCTGCGTCACTGTCTGTCTAATCCAGTCTCTCCCAAGAAAAGCCAGCTTATTCCAGGAGCGCATCATTGAAGCATAACTGTGAGCTGCCCCTGCAGTCCAGCAGGCCTCCCACCCGCGCTCCCGGCAGCCGGCGCCTCCGGACCTCAGTGTGTCCACAGGGCATAGCCAGTGGCTGCTGTTGGCCCCCGGCCACCTGCACACAGCTCCTCAGCAAGATGTGCTTCAGCGTCCACACTGCTTGTCTGGTTCTGTCCTTTGTGGCAGCAAATTGGGTCCAAGAAAACAGGCAAAATAGGCATTCCCCTCTTCCAGCAGCCTTCTTGAGACGGCACATGCTTCTCAGCCTCGCCCCTGCCCCTGCCCCTGCCCCTACAGTGTGTCTCGTGGCTGCGTCTTCATGTTGTCATGGGGACGCCTCGTGGACCCAGGCCACCATGACAAGGCAGGGGTCCCTCTTCTGCTGCTCCCTTAGTGTAAGCAGGTAGAGCCATGGTGAGGCCCACGTTTGGCTTTGCTCTGGACAGTGACTACTGGGGACACATCGTGGGCAGGATCCAGGAGTGTGGGGCAGATCCAGGGGTGTCTGGTGGGTGCTGTGGTCCCAAGAAGGCTGGAGCGCTTGGTGCTGCCAGCCTTCTTGAGTTGTCTTCACAGCAGGAAGCTCCCCAGACCAGCCTTCCTGCCCTGATGCCCTTCATCCTCTGCTGTTTGCCCCGAGCTTGCCGTCTGCCCCCCCCCCCCCGTTCCCACACCCTCGGGAGGCAGGTGGCGCCAGAGTGCCCGCACTCCCCAGCTGGCCAAGGGGCCCCGAGCAAGGCCCTGCCTACTGACTGCACTCCCATCTGTTACATGCAGGTGACAGCAGGCAGCACTCATTTGCCTCCACTGAGGTGTAGCTTTGCCAGCAGCTGTGACGCACACATGCCCCTGCAGAACGTGCCCAGAGAGGGAAGAATGCATGGGGTGGTGACTCTCCCCTCGGTGGCGCTCATGTGTGACTGAAGGGCACAGCCATCTTGCTGTCCACCCCAGAGGCTGGGCAGACCTGATGTAAACCTGAAGACTGGGGTTTTCGTCTTGCCAGTGGCCTCGCTAGGCCAGTTTTTCCTTGACATGGGCCTCCGGGTGGCTGCTCCCCACCCAGGAGGGTCTGGTGATGGGATTCGAGAGGCCTGGGAGCCTTGTGCCAAGGGGGTTCTGAAGAAACTGCAGAAGGGGATGTTTGCTGCCAACTGGAATCATGCATCTTTCCAAGGGAGTTGTGAGGTACAGAGAGAGAGGCTGGCGGAGGCCAAGGGGTTTCAGGTGGCAGTCTAGAACGTGGATGGGTGCGGCGCAGGCCAGGCTTCAGGGAGGAAGCAGAGGCGTCAAGCACTTGGCCCAGCCTGGTCAGGCCGCTCTTCCCCACGTCTTAGACCCTCTGCCTCACACCCAGGAGAGCCGTGTGTGTCCAGTGGCTCTGTGGAGCCCAAAGCAGAAGGGGTGGGCCGGGTGCACCCTGTTTCCCCATGGTCTGCATGCTGAGGGCACCTTCTGCAGTGCAGCTCCAGATGGTGGGCGGGAGGTGAGCTGCGGAGTGGCCTTCGCTCTGCGGCAGCTCCACGCCGGCCGTGCCGCTCCGCGGGCGCTTTGTCTCCCTTCAGAGAGGCACCAGCCTTGGCCTGCAGGTGGACTAGATGCCTTCAGGGGGACAGCTGCTTGAGCAGAGGCTGAGATGCCTCCTTGGGCAGGGGGCGCCCAGGCTGGGAGGGAGAGGCCAGGGCCAGGGAAGGGTGGCAGCAGGGGCTCCCAGGGAGGTGAGCAGCTGGGCTTCGGCAGGAACCCACTGCGGGCAAGGCCACGGGCCTGCGCTGCCCCCTCCTTGGCACCGTCTGGTCCTCTGCAGGACCTTCTGGATGACCTGTTCACCTCCCTAGTTCTGGGAGCTTGTTGGCACTGTGGATCCTAGAGCCTGTTTTCCAAAGCAGGGCCATGCTGCCCACCCTGGGGCTCTGCACACTCTGGCTCTGGGACACGCATCCTGTTTGGGGCACCTGCTGCGCCCCGTTCAGCATAGCACACTAAGCCACCCACCCGTTTCTGACTTGCTGTCATCAGTGTGAATCGCCTGGAGCCATTTTGTTCTCCTCGGCAGAGCAAGTGGGCCCGGCAGCCAGAGGCCCCTCGGCCCATCTGCAGGCCTGGGCACAGGCCGTGGGAGCAGCCCGTTGTGTTTGTTGTCGTGCTGGGCCAGCAGCAGGGGTTTGGTCCTCTGCCCAGCCATGGAGGGAGGGTTGTGCTGTGGCCACCATGCGGCTCAGTCCTGCACACCTGGTGGGAGGCGCTGACGCTGAGGATCAGGAGGCGTGGACGGTTCCCTCGGGAGCTTGGTCCGGGGTGCGGGGGGTGGGCACCTGTCCCTGCTGGAATCTGGGCTCCTCCAAATGCTCTTTCTGTTCTGTGATTGAAGAACTGAAAAAGGTAGCAACCCGCACAGAGTGATCCTAACCCGGTAGCCCAGCACCAGCAGAGGGAGTAAGTGGGAGAGAGAGAGGCGTGAAGCTGTGGCCAGAGTGCCTGGGGGGGCGCCAGAGTCTGTCTGCAGAACCGGAGGGCCCAGGAGGCAGGGGTGGGTATGTGCTGGCCTCCAGGAAGAGGCTGTGAGGGGACCCTCAAGGCGTGCAGGGAGTTGACCAGGGTGTGGGCAAAGCCATGCCTCCAGCCCCCAGGTGCTAGTGTGGTGAGGGCCTGGGCCACTGTGCTGCCGTCATTGGTGCCCAGGGCTGGTAGGCAGCTACCTCCCCAGAGTTGCCTTGTGCCTCTGCTGTGGAAGGTGGTCACTGCACACACGCCTGTCCCTGATTCCTGGGCTGTGTGGCTCATCTGGCAGGGTTCACAGACAAGTACGGCTGCATCCCTGGTGGTGACGTAGTGCGGCCGACGCCCTGTGCTCTCCCCATAGAGGAATGAGGGTGTGGGGCAGCCCCGGCCCTGCAGCTGAGGAGGCAGCCTCTGAGAGTGGCAGTGAGCTGCTCTCCCGTCCCAGCCGGGGCTGCCTAACCGCCGGACGGAGGGGCCCCGGGCCTGGTGTGCAGCAGAGCTGACGTGGGCCGCTGTGCTTCCACTGAGCGTCAGATACGTCCCCGGTGGCCTTGGGAGCGGAGTGGGCTCCTGGTGGCATGCGGGGGGACAGTCCCCCCGTCACAGCTCAGGTCCTCACTGGCCGCAGGGGGGAGGATGTAGGTGGGGGCCAGGTGGTATCATCTGAGGCCGTAGGCTTCCCCTGGCAACCCCCCAGGCTGCCACAGCCATGAGGCAGGGTCGTGGGGATGCTCTGTCATAGCCCAGAGGCTTGTGGGTCTCCCTGCCAGGGAGCAAGAGCTGCCCGGCCTGCCCTTGGTGCCAGCGCTTGGTCCCCGTGTGCTCCAGGCGGGGGCGGTGCCGGTGTTTGTATTTCAGAGGTAGGTGTCTGAGCAAAAGACGAGGAAGGGTGTGCAGTGAGGCTGAGAGGAGGGGCTCCTGCGGACACGGGGCCCACAGGCTGGGCGGGCGGGCACAGCGGCACAGCAGGAGAGAGAGCTCGAGGCAGGCTGAGCCCCCTCCCCTTCCAGGTCAGCCAGAACACCCTCACCATGCTGCCCTCGCCGTCACCCGGCCAGCAGGTGCAGACCCCGCAGTCGATGCCACCTCCCCCCCAGCCGTCCCCGCAGCCCAGTCAGCCCAGCTCGCAGCCCAACTCCAATGTCAGGTAGGCCCGGCTGGGGGACCCCTTCCTGCCCGGCTCCTGGGGTGGCTGGTGCCCCCCACACACGTGCCTCCTTTCCTCTGCTGCAGCTCCGGCCCCGCCCCTTCCCCCAGTAGCTTCCTGCCCAGCCCCTCACCACAGCCTTCCCAGAGCCCAGTGACAGCACGCACTCCACAGAACTTCAGTGTTCCCTCCCCGGGACCTCTGAACACTCCCGGTAAGTTGGACTTGGGGTGGGTTCGGCCCAGACCTCGGCTCCAGTGGGGCGAGTGAGCACCGGGATCCCTGAGGCCCTGAGACCCCACCCTGCGGGTCTGCAGAGCCAGGCTTTTGTGGGGTGGCTCACTCACCAGGCGTGTCCTGCAGTGAACCCCAGCTCCGTCCTGAGCCCAGCAGGCGCTAGCCAGGCTGAGGAGCAGCAGTACCTGGACAAGCTAAAGCAGCTGTCCAAGTACATCGAGCCCCTGCGCCGCATGATCAACAAGATCGACAAGAACGAAGGTGGGCCTGGCGCCGGGCGGGCGCACCCATAGCCAGCCCAAGCCCAGCTCCTAGTGTCCCCTTTTCTGTCCCAGACCGAAAAAAGGACCTGAGTAAGATGAAGAGCCTTCTGGATATCCTGACGGACCCCTCCAAGCGGTGAGCTTTGCCCCAGGCCTCGGGGGGAAGGACGACGCTGCCCCCACGGCCAGAAGCCTGGCCACCCAGCCTCGGCGAGGGCTCGGTGGTGACATGCAGCTAGAGCAGCACAGGGGCTCCCTGCCCTGCCTTTGCCACCACCCAGCTCTGCCCTGTGGCCGTCACCACTGTGCCTCATCAGGCCACTGGCCACGTCCGGGCTTGCAGAGTCCCCACCGATCCAGCTGGCCCAGACGGGCTTCAGTATGACCTTCCACCCCGCCCTTAATTTGCCTTGGGCAGACAACTGTCGTAGCTACCCCACATGCAGAAGGCGGCAGCTGTGGCTCCCATAAGCTGGCTGTGAAAAATGAAACAGGCCGGTGCCTTGAGAAGCACTTGGTGGGCTCTGGACACCGCACCCACACCCTTCTCTGCCTGCGTAGCCAAGCTGCTCTGCACTCCAGAGCCTGGCTAGTGCCAGACGACCTGCCCCACCCTGGCTTCAGCCATGCTTCCCTTCTCAGAGGTCTTCCCTGTTCTGCTCACCTGGGCAGAATGCTTGTCACTGTGGAACTGGGCGGCCTTCCAAGCCCTCTTGAATTGACCCCTCATTGCAGTATAGGGCCAGGGGGTGCAGGTGCCTGGCCTCTGTTCCTCTCCTTGACACAGCACACGTATGCCTTGTTCTGTCACCAAGAACTGGGTGGCTCCTGGAGGTGGGACCCCCTTACCTTAGACTCCAGGGCTGAAAACGGTTGACTGACTGGGATTCCTGTGGAGGGTTGGAGTGGCCAGTGCCTTGGAATTGGTTCTATCCGCAGGTGGGCAGTGGTTGGGATCAGCTCTCAAGTGCATGGGCTTGGCAGCCTCCAGTACAAAGGGCCCCCATCATTTCCTCCACAGGTGCCCCTTGAAAACACTGCAGAAGTGTGAGATTGCCCTGGAGAAACTCAAGAATGACATGGCGGTGGTGAGTGGGCACTGTGGCCCAGTGCTGTGGGAAGGGTCATAGGCAGCCCCGGGCAGGTCAGGCTCTCCCCGCAGTGACTCAGAAGCACCTGCTGGGGGAAGCTTTCACAGTCAAGGGTGGGCAGAGGAGCATGCCACTCAGCCTGAGGACCCTGCCTGGAGGGGTTGTCAGGTCAGGCCCACTGGGACCTGGGGGAAGTGGGCATGGGATTGTGGGAGAAATCCCTCTCCAGCTGCCATCCCCCAGGCCCATGAGTTTTCATGCCTGCAGCCTCCCACCCAGCACCAAGCCAGGCCCGGTGGGCGGGGACAGAACTGTGGAAGGTGGAAGCCTCAGGTGGCCAAGGTGGTGGGGAAGCCACAACAAGCCTGATTGTGAGGGTGGGGATGTGGGGTCCAGAGAGCTCCCTGAGAGTGGGCCGCTGATGCCGCCCGTCCTGCCCCAGCCCACACCCCCACCACCCCCAGTGCCGCCAACCAAGCAGCAGTACCTGTGCCAGCCACTTCTGGACGCAGTCCTGGCCAATATCCGCTCGCCCGTGTTTAACCACTCCCTGTACCGCACGTTTGTGCCGGCCGTGACGGCCATCCACGGCCCTCCCATCACGTACGTACAGCCAGGGCTCAGCCTTGCAGCAGAGGGCGGTGGGCCATGCCCCCCAGCCTAGCCCAGTGGTCACCACAGCACCTCCCCAGGGCCCCGGCAGCGTGTGCCCGGAAGCGTAGGTTTGAAGAGGACGAACGGCAGAGCATCCCCAACGTGCTCCAGGGGGAGGTGGCCAGATTGGACCCGAAGTTCCTGGTGAACTTGGACCCTTCCCACTGCAGTAACAATGGCACAGTCCACCTGATATGCAAGCTGGGTGAGCAGCAGAGGGCGGGCCCAGCCAGAGCCACAGGCCCCCTGGGGACAGCTCGGTCCCCCACAGACAGATGCGCCCACGCCACAACCCCAGGCCCGCTGTCCCCATGACCCTCCCGGGAGCCTGTCCCCACTGTCCTAGTCCTCACACACCCCGGCCCAAGGTGTGCACTGGAACCACACGTGCTCACCTGAGCGCCAGGGGAGCCCCTTCCCCTGTCCTGGTGTGGTCTGGCCTGGGCTGGGTCACAGGCACAGCCACGTACATTGCAGATGACAAGGACCTCCCGAGCGTGCCCCCGCTGGAGCTCAGCGTACCTGCAGACTACCCCGCCCAGAGCCCACTGTGGATCGACCGGCAGGGGCAGTATGGTGGGTGAGCCAAGGAGACACCATGGGGGCGGGGTACCCAGCACAGGCGGCCGTCAGCTCTAGGCAACCAGGGTGTCCTCTGTGCCCCCAGCTGAGGCCCGTTTCTGCCCTCTGGTTCCCCTTTCGTGGATGGGAACGGGTTATCCAGCAGTCACTTGAAGAGAGAAGGCTTCTCTCCATATTGTGTCCCTTTGCCAGTCCTGTTTCCCCAGGGCAGTCATGTTCAGTGGGTGAACGGAGCACAGTCCGAGAAGCCCCTGGGGTCCCTGGGCTCCAGACCCGGTCGCCCTCCAGGTCTCCACTGACTTGTGGGCTGGCGAGGACAGCCCGCTGGCCACCCTGAAGTGCAGGGGAGAGGCTGTCTCTACTCCCCATGGCTGGCCTCCTGGCAGAGGGTGCAGCACTCACGTCCACTGCTCTGTCACAGATGCCAACCCCTTCCTGCAGTCAGTGCACCGGTGCATGACCTCACGGCTGCTGCAGCTTCCCGACAAGCACTCGGTCACCGCCCTGCTCAACACCTGGGCGCAGAGCATCCGCCAGGCCTGCCTCTCAGCTGCCTAGCCACCACCACTGCTGTATGTGGGGCCGCCCGCCTGCCTGCCCGCTGGGGACCGAGGGGGCAGCCGCAGCCTTGTGCTGGCTGCAGAGGGCACACCACGTGTCCGCCGGTTCTAGGTGTTGACTCCCTTAGAGAGCCTGGGCTTAGGTTAGCTTTCCTGCTTTTATCTTCTGCCTTGGGGACCTGCCGTTCTCCCATCCTTGTCCAGGACTGAGGCAGTGGCTGCCCAGGCTGGCGTGGGGCTTCCCCTAGGGAGTTGGACGTGCCCTGTCCCTGGGCATTCCTCCCTGGCTGCTGTCCCCCAGCCTCGGCAACACCCATGACCTTCCTCTGTAGCATGGGGAAGAATTCAGGGTCTTGTTAGAGCCTTGTTTGTGCCAGAAAACATTTCTACCCGTTTCTGTAGGGGAACATGGAGAACATAGGAAGCCATTAAAACACAGAATCCTCTGATCATAGTTTGGGTTCAGACTGTGCCACCATTGGCATGTAGGGCACACCACCCCAAAGTTCCCAGATCCTGGGGTGCCATCTGTGTTTGCAGGGAAGGCCAGCCTGCAGGCAGCTACAGGTCCCTTCCGCCAACTGGGCCTCATACCTCATGGCATTCTCCCTTCAAGCCCTGTGGGCTCACTCAGCACTGTGGGGATGCCTGGGGAGCAGGGCCATCCTGTCCCTGGCGCTGTGCCCTCTAGCTGGGTGCTTGGGCCCACTCTCAGGTCAGGGGACTGTCCTGAGGACCTGGAGTCTGCACAGCCACCCCAGAGAGTGAGGGCTCTGGATGGGGCGCCAGCCAGCCGGCCCTCTGGTGACAAGAGGTCTTCCCTTTTGTATGTGCACTACCGTGTCATCTGTGGTTCTTAAAATAAATTTATTATTCCTGTGTTGGTCTTGAATTTTGTTTCTGTGTCCCACCCCTTCCCTTGCAAGTCCAGGGCCCACTGTCCAGTGAGGGACACTGTCAGGGCTAAACCAGGTCCCCCGCCTTGGAGGTGCCGTGAACACTCAGGCCCCAGTTCCCCCTCGTCTGGCAGGCAGTGTCAGTGCCTTATCCTGGGTCACCCCAGGTTTCTGGCAAAGTTCCTGCTCCCTGCACAGGAGAGGCCGAGGTTAGCACCAAGACCAGTGGGGCCAGGACTGCCCTGCTGGGCGAGGATGGCCACCACATGACCACTCCCAGGTGGTGGGCAGAGCTGCTGTTCTAGCGATTGGGTGGGGCCCCCTGCCCTGAGGAAGACCATTCTGTGCGTGGCCATAGCCGTGGCCCTCCATGGAGGAAGGCAGGCGCGGTGGAGTGGCTCGGCCGCTGCTTGTTGGTGTGGAGGCAGGACAGCGTCTTGCCCAAGTTCCTGGACAGCAGCCCCTGGCCCAGACAGGCCAGGAGAGGCCCTGCATTCCGAGAAGGAACCACGTGCTGTGCCAGAGCCCTTTTTTGTCGGTGCAGCCGCCAGGCCCTGGACGAGTAGAGTGCCGACCTGGCAGGCCCCTCCTGGGTTGGGGAGCACGCCTGGTAGCCAGGGACGAGACTGGCTTAGGACGAGACTCACTGGAGAAACGAGCTTTATTTCCAGTCTTCAAAAAGTACGGTAATACTCACTTCATAATATGTTTTATGTAAGTGCATAATAGCAAAATACTGATCAAGAAAAGTTTCTCAACACTGAGATCAAGTATGTTATCTGCCATGCATTTTGTTTATCTGGAATTACACTTGGTTTAAATGTACTACAAATATTTTGAAATGCTAGGTAGAGAGGGCAGGTGTCTACAGGTGCAGGTCGAGCGGAGCTGTGTGGACAAGGCCAGATGGCGCTCAGAGCACAGAGCTGTGCCACCGCCGGCCCTCGCTGCCTGCAGCCTTCTCTGCCGCTCGGCGAAGCTGCTCTTCAGGGTCTGCTTCAGCGCAGGCAGGATGGCACGCTCCCCAACAGGCATCTGGCTCAGAATCAGGCTGGTGGGGACAGGGAGGGTCACCACAGGTGCCCTCGGGAGCAGAGGCCCGGCCTGCAGGTACACGGCTCGGGCCACCCCACCCTCCCCGTGCCAGTGGTACTCACCATGTCTTAGAGACACCCTTGGTGGGGACCCGCAAGGCTCCCTGGTGAAGGGCCTCCTGGTCCCTGTGACAGGACAGCCAGCAGTGAGCCCCAGACAAGGGCCCACTGTGATGGGCAGAGCAGGTTCGCTGGGCACTTACCTGGGAGAACTCGGCCGGGCCTCCTTGGGCCCCTGGCTCCTTCCCAGGAGGGTCCTGAGGTGCTGCAGCTGGAAGGCAGAGGGGAGAGGGCAGAGGCATGGTGGGCAGGGCCTGCAGAGGCCTGGGTACTGCCCCACCGCCCGCACCTCACCTCCTGGGCCTGCAGGAGGTTGGCGTTCCACAGCTGGCGAATGACCACCTCGCACTGCTGAATGGTGGGCTTGTGCAGGAGTGGGGGCAGGCTTGAGGGCTGCTTGCCCTTGTGCTGGCCGCCCGACAGCAAGGTGGCCGCTGGATTAGGGGCCTCCACGTCCTCATCTCTGGAACAGTCACTGCAGCAGCTCAGAGGCGCGCAGCCAAGATGGGCGCTACCCCCCCATCTCTCCTCAGTAGGGCACCCACCCCAGTGTCGGGCTGGTGTAGCCAAGAGGGGCGTCTGCACGGCCGCCTCCAGGGCATGGCTCCCTTCTGCTGATCAGAGTGCTGCAAGCACCAGGTGGGGGCCTCGGGGGCTAGCTGGGACCTGGGCCCATCCCTTCCCCTCTCTTCAAGGTGCACCGAGGGGAGGGCCTGATGTGATTTGAGCTGCTCGGCTGCCTTCTGTTGACCCCAAACCTGGTGGGACTCCTCAACTGGGAATCTAGGGACTGCAGAGGAGCGGAGGCCTGTCCTGCTGATAGCTACCCAGGGGACTTGAGGTTCCCTTTTTGGCTGCAAAGTGCTGGCTTAGAAGCTGCAGAAACTCCTGGGCCTGCTCGGGCCTGCTGGCCGTGCCTTCCCAAGGCCCAGCAGGCCTTCCAGCGTGGAGCCTGGGAGCCCAGCTCACTGTTCTCTTCACATGAAGCGGCTCGTTTACTTTGTTTTCTTTGAGAAAAAGGTTTAGGAGCTGCTGCCTCCAGTCAGCCCAGCCCCAGACAAGGGCCCAGCTGTGACGGGTGGGGCTTGGGGGTGCTCACGAACTGGGCCCGGCCTCCTCCTCTGGGGCAGCCGTGGGTTTTGACTGGACTGGGATTCAGGGGCTGTCTGTGGGCTAGGGTCAGCACAGGGACCCTGCAGGGCCCCCAGAGGAGGGGGGAAGGCAGTGCCCACCAGATGGATGAGCCCAGAGCCTGTTTTCACAAGCTTGGTTCACACTGGAGACCAGTCCGTCGGGAAGGACAAAGCAATTGGCTAGTTCCAGGGTGTGAGCCTACTAAATACGTTCCTGGGCCCGTGGGGGGCAGGCGAGCCTTACTTGGCCTGCCTCTGCACCCCAAGGGCTTTGTCCAGCTTGCTGTTGTGAAGCATGGCGGCAGCTGGGGGCCCCTCTTCCAGGCCCATCTTCTGGGGAGTGTCAGCTTTCGAGTCTTGCTTCTTGGGGGAGCTGGGCTGGGCCCTGCCCTTGCCTTGAGAGTTGGCTGCAGGTCAGACCCAGACAGGCTAGTGACTGTGGGTGTCCATGGCCGGTGCCCAAGTCCTCCGGGTTCACTGTGTGCTCCTAAGGAGCCCCCGCCCTGGAAAGGGGGCTTCCTCCCTGTAAATGGGGGTGGTAATAGCCTCCCTCCAAGGCCTGCTGGGAGCCACGAGGGCGGTCTGAGGACATGACCTGGGTGTGGAAGGGGTGCCTGCAGAATGTTCTGGGCTGGCTCCTCGTAGTGGCTGAGGCAGGGACAGCCCCCTCTCCTGTGCTGGCCGCGTGTCTTCCCGGGTCCTGGGGACGGCCGGGGTGCGAGTGGCCCTGCAAGCTATCCCCTGGCTGTACAGCCACACCTCGTTGCAGGCAAACTGAAATGGCATGGCAGCTCTGGGACCTGGCCTGCCCGAGCTTGCCTTCTCAGGACAAGGCCCTTGGACGCCTGGGCCCCACACAGAAGGCCGTGGCTGCTCCCACCAGGATGCCTGGTTGCTCTGGGAGGCAGGGTGGGAGCAGGGGCTCCCAGCTCCCCTCTCTCTGCAGGGACACGCCACCCCCAGGGTGTCACAGGCAGGGCCATCCCCAGCATCCCGTCTGCTTTGGGGGACCAGCGAGCAGGGCTTTCTTCTGGACTGCCCCCTCCCTGGAAGAGCGCCCAGAGAAGCTCAGGGGCTCGGGGCTCATCAGTGAGTGGGACTGCCCGCCGCTGGGGTTGGCCCGCCGTGGTCCTGGCACCCCCACCTCAGCTGCTGCTGCTGGGCCCGGCTCCTGGCACCAGGGGGCTCACCTCAGCTCCCTTCGGCTGGCCCTTGACCCCAAGCCACAGGGCCTGGCAAAGGCGCTCCCCGAGGTCCTCTGCAGAGAGGACCACTAGGGGCTCCCGGCTTCCCATTGGCGCCCACACAGGCCGTCCAGGCCCAGGCCCCCAGCCGAGTACTGGCCCTGCCCTGCCCCGAACACTGGGAAGTGTTGCGCTGTGCTTCTGTCGGCATCTGCTGTGCTTGGGTGTAGGCACCCAGACCATGGCTGAGGCTGGCGTCTGTCCAGGGCCCCCAGGACCCCTTCCCACTGGGACAGTGCAGCTGGCTGGGCGCAAGCAGTCTGGAGGGGCTGCTCCTGCTGTCAGGAAGTTCCCATCAGGCTTGAGGGCCCGTCTTACCTCTTTTTGGGGGCTTCTGATTCATTATCAGCCTGTAATGGAGATCTGGAAGCAAGCACAAGCTCTGGTCGTTTTCAAAGCCGCAGCCTCTTTGAGGGAAGAGGCTTGGCTGGCCTTACCTACCCCCCCTGCTGGGTCCCCAAGAGACCTCACTTGTAACCTTGGCTGCTGGGACCCCACTCCTTTGCCTTGGGCACCCGAGGGCTGGGAATGCCTCTGGTTGTTCCCTGACCCCAAGCACCTGTGTGAGAGCCTCACCCACAGGCTGTCTCTTCATGACGTTACAGGGCGCCCTCTACCAGGAGGGGCTGGGCTCCAGGGGGCCAGGGGTGAGTCAGGATGCCACAGGCTCCAGGAGCCCCTCGCTATGGATGAGCAGATGTGGGCAGTGCAGTGATCAAGTAGTGCCCAGAAGTGGCCTGGGCATTAGGGAGGGACCTGGATGAGACTCAGAAAGAGTCCTGGTTTGAAGGATACTCAGGCATCAGGAACTTGGCACTCAGGTAAAGGCAGCAGGAGAAAGGTGGGGAGTGGGAAACAGAAGCAGGCCTAGCCATGCGGGTGCAGAAGCTCCAGTGAGCCTGAGGGCCGCCTCAGAGCAGGATCCGCGTGGGAGACCCCAAGTTCTGCCTCAGGCTGGGCCAATGGGGATGAGCATCCATGAGGAGTGAAAAGTTAGCAAGACCCTGCCCGCGCCACCGAGATGTCCGGGCAGGGGGCTGGGTGGGGGCCAAGGGATCCTTTTGCAGCTGGCATATATGCCCTTGATCTGGGGGTCTTCAGTTTGTGAAAATCCATGGAGCTTTATATTCATATTTGTGGATATGTTTTACATTATAAAAGGTTTCTTCAAAATGGACAACTTTCTAGAAAAATACAACCTTCCAAGGCTGACCCAGTAAGAAACAGAAAATCGGAACAGACCAATTACCAGCAAGAAAATTGAATTGGTAATCAAAAAACTACCTAAGAACAAAACCCTTGGACCAGATGGTTTCACTGCTGAATTTTATCAAACATTAGTGAAGACCTAATACCCAGCCTCCTTAAAGTTTTCCAAAAAGTAGAAGAGGAGGGAATACTTCCAAATGCATTCTACGAGGCCAACGTCACTCTAATACCAAAACCAGGCAAAGATAC